ATGCCACAACCCTTTAATACAGTTCCTCATGTTGTGGTGACCCCCAACCATAAAATTATTTTCGTTGCTACTTCATAACTGTAATTTTGCTACTGTTATGAATCGTAATGTAAATATCTCATATGCAGGATGTATTTTCAGGGGTTGTGACCCACAGGTTGAGAACGCTGCTTAGAAGTTGTTAAATTAATCTAGTGAGAAAAACAATGTATTTTCTAGTACAAACATACTTTGAGTTTAGAAATTTACAAAATGTAGAAGTTAACCAGATTTTTAGTTTTATGAATACAATGTATGTCTAAGAAAATCCTGTGGATAGCAGCAATAATAAAATCAAAATTTTTCTAATCAATGATGTAACATATTAATCACATAATGCTCAAAAAAAATCTTCAAATCTGTTTAGATGTCTAACTCAAAAAATTTAAATTTCCAGTAAATATAAGTGCTGTACCCCTAATGCTAATCTACCCACATCCCCATTGGAACCACTGAAAGAACTCCTGCAATCCAGACTCCAAAAGCCTCCAGAATGACATCTTCTCAAGATACATATACGTTAAACATCTACTAATACAATGTCATAAAATCTCTGATCCCATGTCTACCCCCTGAGCGCTATCACTGTCCCATCCTCCTCCCCTGATTAGATTTCTGGGCTAAAACACCAATGGAAGGACAGGGAAGGACACACAGAGGAGGACATGGGAACACACACATACACACACGCACACGCACACACACATTGATTTAAGGAAACTTCTCATGCTGCCACTGCCCTACTGTGCAAAAGTAGAAAATAAATCCACATTAACTGAAGGGGCAAGGGAAACTTCTTACCCTAAAGGAGAGGTGGTAGGAAAAGGGAAGAAGGAGTCTCTTCTAGTTATTAAAGAAAGTCAGAAATCACAATTACCAGGCGGATTCCTGTGAGTTGTCATCTGGGTATATAATCATGTTAGAATATTTATCGGGAATCTGAAAAATAGCAAAGGCTTAACAGGATGGTCTTTCAGGACTAGCACTGGGCTTGACTTTCCATTACTGAGCTTTTTTACAACTTGTTAAGGGGCAGTTTAACTTCTAGATGTCAGAGATAGAAATAATTTTTGACCAGTGGAAGAGAAAGCCCCAAAGGATTATAGTTTATGATCCTGTTTTAGATAAACCAGTTTTCATCTAAGCCAGCAATCTATGAAATTGTCTATGTATCTAACTTCTCAAATACTTTTTGAACTGTTTTTTAGATTTTATTGGTTCCCTCACTAATTAACAAGTTGAAGAAAATCTTCAACACGTATTCATTTTGTATTTGCATGAGTAATAACTTTATCTTTTTGAAAATTCTACTTTAACAAGCACCACTCTTAATATTGTTTCTAGAGATTACCATGAGTTATACATTCAAAACAGACCACCTTTTAAATTTTCAATCACCTACATTTGACTAGATTTTTAAAAATATACAATATTTGTAGAAAGGGTTATAATTTGGTAAAGAAGCTATAACTTGGAATAAGATTTACTATGTTTAAGTCCTAGTACAGAATAAGTCATACTGTATATTTCTCAATTATTACTATGCAATCACAGGTCCAATTTATGGCTAAAGATGCAGAGAATTTCTTCTGGGAATCAGAAGATTAGACTGATAAAAAAAAAAAAAGCCAAAAGACTAGTCAATAAAATGGGGAGAGTTCAAAACAATGGTTCTCCTCTACTCTGCATATTATATTGTCTATGGAATATTTTTAAATGCCAGAGGCTTGGGCAAATTAAAATCTGAGTATCTGGGACAACCCAGGCACTAGTATTTTTCTCAAATGTATAGTCTTTCTACAGCCACTTTTCCTGAGTGTTTTGGACTCTCTCCAGCTTTTCCTCTCTGCAATCAGATAGTAAGAGAAAATAATGAACATAATTATAGATGATAAACTTACAAAGAGTGCTATTTTTACCTCTACGCTAACATAAAGGAAAACAGGTTAAATAAACTATGTATAAAAGTAAATATGCCACCTGCATTTATTTCATTATTGGGTTCAGAGTTTCTCGAAAAAAGTGGACCCTACAGTTACTTAAAAGCTACTGATAAGTGAATATCAAACTGATCTCAAAAAATGTAATATAAGCCAACAAGAAAACAAATTCGTTATATAAACCTCATTTAGCATAACTATCTACTCGGAATGGGCACATACCATTGTGGACTGTGAAGAAGCAAGGGAAATGCCAAAATGTGAGCCTATGCTTCAACTTCTGAACCAAATTAAAATAAAGTTTTTTTAAAAAAGCTGACTTCAATACATTTGTATTCTGGAACTTAAACAGATAAAGAATTTTTTTCTAGGATCTTTCTTCTTGCTGACTCCACTTTCTTAACTTTCCATGCCAATCTTGCTTCCATCCTCGCTTTGGTCTAAGTTTCCAGTGATCATGTCATTAATTGGCCATTACCATCCACCCAGTTGTTAACGTAAAAAGCCTGAGGAATTATCCTTAATACCTTCCTTCCCCTCACCACCCTTATTCAGAGCAACAGCAGGTCCTGTCAATTTCTAACATCTCTTAGTTGGTCTCCCAGCCTCTACTCAGCACCCCTCTACAATGCGTGTCCCTGCAGCCAGGGTAGTAAAGGCAACTGACACTTCCTCAGAGTTCTTTATTGACCACTATCTAAAATAGTCCTCTCTTCACCATCTACCACAGGACACTGCTTATCTTCTTCATAATGTTTATCACAGTCGGTACAAGTGTGTGTCTAAGGTGGGGAAGTGGTGGTTGTCTTAGTTCTTCTACCACCAGAATACAAGCTCTATATGAAACAGGGACCTTGTTTGTTCTATATACCAGATTTCTAGGGCCTAGACAACACATGACATATATTGGGCACTCAACAAGTAGTTGTTTAATCAATAAATACTCAAATGGGGGAGGGTCTCCATCTACAACACTCGGCTGGAAAGAAAACTGAGTTCTATCTAGATTTGGCTCTACCAGAAATTAGCTGCGTGGCCTTGAACAAGGCACAAGATTGGAGTGGGCTAAGAGTCTCTGGACCAGCGGTTCTCAACCTGTAGGTCGCGACTGCTCTGGCGGTCGAACGACCCTTTCACAGGGGTCGCCTAAGACCATCCTGCATATCAGATATGTACATTACGATTCATAACAGTAGCAACATCACAGTTATGAAGTAGCAACAAAAATAATCTTATGGTTGGGTCACAACATGAGGAACTGTATTTAAAGGGCCAGAAGGTTGAGGACCATTGCTCTGGACAGCAAGAATGTAGAGACAGCAGGTATGACGATTTTTTTTTCTAAATTTCCCTGCCTGTCTAAATTCAAAAATAAAGGCATACGAACGCCTTTAACCTCCGAGTCGCTCTCATCTGTGTGAGATTACTATGAATGTCACTTCCAGCTCAGAAATACTAGAACTGCATAGGCCTCCATCTGCTTTCCAATCTGAACTTTCCATACTCATTCCTCACTGACACCCCTCCTATCCCCACCAGCCATATCCAAGTGTTCACCCTGCAACCAAACATCACACGGTGCACTTTCCTGACTCACATCTGCTTATTCTGCCACATCTTCACCAACCCCGATCACTAGAAATTCTCTCTTTCAAAGCCCAGATCAATTGTTAGCTGCTTCATAAAGTCTGACCCAATCCCCTGGCCCAATATTGGTATGATCAGTATGTGTTCTTTTATGCTTCAAATTCTTTTATCCTCTCACCCTGTTTCCAAATCTGTAAAACAGAGATCATAGTATCTACCATACCACGCTATTGGTGGATAATTGAGAATGCATAGTTTGATAATAAAGTGGTCAATAAATCTATTGTCCGCAACACATATTTTTCATTCTCCTTGAGGTCCATCAAAGTGACTTCTTTTCATTTCTGAATCTCCAAAGGTTTGAATCCATTTCTCCTCCCAATGCCTTGTGTTTTCATGCCATTAAAATGAAGGTAATGAATTATACCAACCACTATTTCCTCCAAAAATCACGTTGCCTTTACTATATTCCTACATAAAGAGCCTAAAAGATACCACAGGTCAGCTTCTGTAAGGGCGGGAATTCGAGGGAAACGGAAATTACTGTTGCAAGTGGGAGCAGGGTGGAAGCATCTACGTTAAGATAACACTGATTGATGACTTTGGTAATTCTTTCCAAAGAAACTGCCTCTTCCCACAGGGATAGATGCTTTGTATTGATGAAGTTAGGCTACAGATATTGAAAGGAGACCGTGTCTCAAAGGGGCGAAAAAAGAGAATGAGGATGAAGAATCCAGTCGCGTTGAGGAGGAAAACGTTTGTAAGACAAAAGTGTACTAGAGGCTAGACCAGAACCCATTGCCTTCCCCTAACCCTAACCACGAGGAGCGGGAAGACGACCTGAAGCCGAAGGGAAGGAACGCGGGCTGACCGACCAGACTCCAAGCAGCCGGCTGGGCGGGCGGGGACGTCGGCGGAAGCGGGGCAACCTCAGAGCAGCAGCTTTCCTGGGCGGCCCCAGCCCGCCGGCCTGCGGTCACAGACCCAAGCCGACGCTTTAGCAACAACCCCCGCTTCCCGCCCGCGTACCTGCCGGGTCGAGCGCCATCTCGGCGACGGAGGAACGCAGCCGCGAGGCCACGCCCGGGAAGGGGGCGGGGAGGGGAGGAGCCTGGGCCAGGCCGCACGTGCAGCCTCCCCAGCTTCCCGGAGGAGGAGGAGGAGGACGGGAGGTTGTGCGCGTTGCCCTTCGCGAAGCGCCGCAGGTTCCTTTCCCTTTTCCAGGGTCCCTACTTCCGCCTCCCATTGCGCCTGCGCCCGCCTGGCCCCGCCCCTAACTTGGACAGTGTGGAACGCAGGTCGGGGTGGTGATGTGGCCAAAAATGATCACCCAACCCCCTCGCAGACCCGCGCCTCCGGGCTTTGGGCGGAGCTGGAGCTCCCGCGGGCGGACTTGGGTCTGCGGTGTCCGGGAGCAGAAGCTGTGGACCTATGGGACTGCGCCTTCCTTGGGGATACGGTCAGGCCCCAGTGTCCACAGCCGCTTTGGGAGAACCAAATAAATTATCCTCTTCCTTTATATTTTCTTGGTTAACGTTCATTCATTTATAAATGTCTATTTCATGCTTGTCAGGTTATACAACCAGCGTTTTGAACACGAGGAGAAAATAATTGAATAATAATAAGGTCTCCATTCTAGAGGTGCACCGTGTTGACAGGGGAGTGAGATGCAAGCAACACGCTGTTAATTGTGATAAAAGCCACACGTGCGAGATAGGCACAGTTTAGTATACCATAAAGGTAGTACAACGTGTGCAGTATCATTATTTCTTCCCCCAGTCAGTAGCCTGTGGCTCCCCTGGAGGTTAAAATTTTAAATTGGGCGCTAGGGGTACCTCTGTTTAATGAAATACTATCCTCAGGCCATACAAATCCCGACTCTTGATCATTAAAGCTGTATGTTTTGTGAGGAAAATGAAGTAAGGTGGTAACCATCCTCCTTAAGAACCCCAACTGCCCTCTTCCCAACAGAAGAAACTTCCTGGTGACAATTATGGTAATTTCCACATACCAACCGGCCTTCAGAAGTGCTTACTTGTCATCCCCACGTTTAGCTGGCTGGAGCCTCCAAAGGGTGCCCTGCAGCCAGGGACAGAGGGGACAGATGTTAGAGAAAGAAGGAGCAGCTGCTTCTTCCCTGCGAGGGATTTGGGGCTTTCAAAATGATCCCCTCCTCACCTACCTGCAGGCCCTCCTCCCCTGCTGCTGCTTCCGCCTGGTCAGTTGGCAGAAAAGCTGACGGCCATGGAGCAGGGCTGGGAAAGTGGGTCTCTGCTCAGCAGGTCTTCCGTTTAAGGGCCTATTTGGGCATAACGGTCCTTATCACAGCTGTAGGTTGAGGTGCCAAGGTGAAGAATTAATGTTTCACTCGGCCAGGCAGGAAATCGGCTCCTTTTCCTTGTATGTGTTATAAATGTGCTTAGAAACACACCACTTGCATTCTGATTCCCCTTTTATATTTCTGGAGGTGAAGGACTTAATTTAGAAAGCAAAACTTTCTGAGGAGATGATGTGGGGTGTAAAAGCACAAGTCAGACACACAGTTAAGTAATTACATGAAATCTTCCTATATGCAAAAAACCATCGTGGTAAAGGAGAAACTTGGAGAGCTTTTGTCAGAGACCTAGGTACCAACACCTGAACCTGCATCACGACCCATTAGCTTTCTGACTTAAGTAAGTTCCAATGTTTTTCTGGACTTTAGTTGCTAATTTGCAAGGTTGTTGTGAGAAATAAATGTGATATCATATAACACTGTTTTAGTAATTGAAGGACTACTTCTATAGGATTTGCCATAATTTTGTTATAACCATTATTAATATCCTATATGATAAAAGCCTACCCATCTGCCTACCCATCTTTCAAGGCCTAAGTGTCCGACCATTAGTTCAATCCTTCGACCAGTCACTATGACGTGAACTGACCACCAGGGGGAAGATGCTCCAACCAGAAGGTTAGCTTGCTGCTGGGGTCTGGCTGATCGGGACTGGACAAGATGGGACAGACATGCCCTGGAGCCCTGGAGCCCTCCTGTGGTCCCTCCCCTACTGGCCAACCTCCCATAGTCCCTCCTCAGCCCCGATCATGCACCGGTGGGGTCCCTCAGCCTGGCCTGCACCCTCTTGCAATCTGGGACCCTTCGGGGGATGCTGGAGAGCTGCAGGCCAGGCTGAGGGACCTGTGCACTAGGCCTCTAGTTTTTTATTAAAATCAACTCACTTTTAAAAAGATTTAAATAGAGACTATCCACTTTATTCTTATCCTAAGTAATATTATTTGTTAAATCATGAGTTTTGTGTGTCCCAGAAAATGGATGGCTAACCATGTCACACTATGAAGAAACATTAGCAAAAGTAGTACCTCATTGCCTGGTATGTAATGGTGTACCCCTCTCTCAAACTTAGATCATTTGGGGGCAAAGTCTTTACTATCTAACTGGGAAACATAAATCATTTCTTAAAAAGTTAAATCAGAAATTAATTGGCAATTCAAAACAATTAATTTCCTAATATATACATTGTTAACAGACAATTCTTTGGGCATTAACTGCAATAGGCATATGAAGAAGGAGAACACCTTGTCCTGGAAATGAGGAGCTATGTATGTTTTATCAACCATGATCCCTAGGGCTCAGACAATATCCCCTAAATGCCCCACAGTAGCCTTTCACAAAGGATTAATTGCAAGGATGGTTAGGAGAGATTTCAAGATGTGGTAGAAATTATGGTAGGCCTTGAAAGATGGGTAGGCAGAGAAGAGGATGTCACACTAAGAGTAAAACAAGATCAAAAGCATCTGGGATTTGAGATGTTCTTAGAGGATAGGAAGGGCACAGAAAAGGGGGTAGGTAAGAGGTGGAACCATATGAACAGTATGGGGGTGGAAAGCACAGGGCTGCATGGAGGCATGTAGAGGGCAATGCCTGAAAACACTTTAATGCATTTGAAGATTTGGAAAACTAGGATAGATGAAAATGCAATAGAAATATGTTAGAGGGGGCCAGATTCCCAAAGCCTTAAACATTAGACTGAGGAGTGTTGACATTTGTCGCTATACACAATCAGGAGCGGTTGGAGGTTAACAGATAGAAAAATGGCATTGCGGTCAAAGTGATGTTTTCTAAAGATTTTCTGCAGGATAGATTTAGGTGGTGAGGAGAGACCCAGGAGATAAGCAGGACAGTAAAGAGCTATTGCAGTAGTTCAGGCAGGACTGGGAAGCAGCCTAAACTGGGATATGTAGAAATGTAAAAAGAAAGGATGGATGTAAAAGTAATTGCAAAGGAAGAATCTAAACTTTATCATTGAACTTAGGAAACTAGAACAAGAAGTTAAGAATAATTTATAGGCGATTCCATTTCTAGACAAATGTATACAGACAAATGAGAATATCATGGCAGTGCATCTACTCATGCCTCATGATCTACCTTGATCCTCATTTCTGGGGAGCAATACTGAAACAGACCAGTTAGGAGGAAGCTGCAATAATACAAGCAAGCAAGGATAATGGCTGATCCACTGAAGAGGATATGAAATGAAGGTAAAGTGAGGTATGTAGTATGTTGACTAAACATTAGTACACATATATTTGTATGGATTTCTTAGTCTAATATCCAAGTAATGTGCAAGTACAAATATCTAAATTGTTTATCAAGTCTATCTTGACCATACCTACCATTTAGTTTTGCTCTATGTTGACATCCAGTTGGTTATTTTAAAATATTGAGATGATCAGTCAACCCCTGCTTGCTTCTAACTCTGCTCAGCATCAGAATTAAAGACTTTCCACTTATAGCTCTTTTCTGCCTTATCTTTGAGCCAATGAGAATTAAATTTGGGAAAATATTAGAAGCTCCCATCTCTACAGTAGATAGAGTTTGGAATTAATTCCTGGCTAGAAGATCACTATCCAAAGGGCTCTATTGGCCCTGCTTTCTGAGCTACATAATTTAGCCCCTACACCCATACACCCTCTCTGATTTGAATGGGCTTAAGTGGACACATGTTAGTTTGCTAGGTCTGCCATAATGAAGTACCACAGACTTGTTTGCTTAAACCACAGAAATTTACCTTCTCACAATTGGAGGCTACAAGTCCAAGATCAAGGTGTCTGTAGGTTTGGTTTCTTCTGAGGTTCTCTCTCCTTGACATGTAGATAGCCATCTTCTCCCTGTCTCTTCATATGGTCTTCTTTCTGTCTGTCTATGTCCAAATTTCCCTTTTTCTTAAAAAAAGGAGACAACTCATATTGGATTAGGGGCCTACCTTCATGACCTCATTTGAACTTAATTACCTCTTTAAAGACACTATCTCCAATAGTCACAATCCCAGGCAGTAGGCTCAGATCTTCAACATATGAATTTTCTGGGACACAATTCAGCCTATAACAACATTCTAATTTTTTTTTAAAAGGACTAGAAACCTTCCCTGAATCCCAAATCACTTGGCTAGAATCCTGATACCCTACCTAACATTAGTTTCTCCCCAGAGCAATATACTTTGTCCCTGTTTTCCTGGTGTTTGAATAGGACCTGTTCAATATGTATGAGTTCACCCGGCCACTGCAGTCAACTTCCTATCTGTCCCTCATCACCCACATACAATTGACCACAAAGACTTATTCAGTTCTGCCTTAATATATTTTTATTCATCTACCAGCCACACTGTCATAATTAATCCAAGACCTATCAGCAACAGCCTCCTAACTTTCTCTTTGTTCCTCCCTTTATTCTTTTCTAATCCATTTTTTAAAATATTTCTTTGTTGATTTTAGAGAGGAAGGAAGGAGAGATAGAAACATCAATGATGAGAGAGAATCATTGATCAGCTGCCTCCTGCACACCCTCTACTGGGGATCGAGCCCACAACCCAGGCATGTACCCTTGACCAGAATCGAACCTGGGACTCATCGGTCCGCAGGTTGACACTCTATCCACTGAGCCAAGCCAGTTAGGGCTTCTAATCCATTTTACCCACAACAGCTAATATGGTTATAAAATTTTTAATATAAAACCTTCAAATATTCCCCACATAAATAAAATCCATACCCTTTGCTTTTAAGAGATTCATAAAACTCTTTATAACTTAGTCCCAACTTACTACTTATCATTTCATGACCAGCCTGCTATACTCTGCAATTTCCACTATATGAATTTACTTGCAATAGTTTATTATGAACTTTTTTTGTGCAAAAATGGGTAAAATTGTGTGTTTAAAAAAACTGGAGAAATTGCAGAAAGTCTGTGTAGTGGAATGAAAGGAT